AGAAATAAAAAGTAAAATGGTATCAAATGACCAAAAAGTGCAGGAGATTTATTCAATAGGTGAAGGAGTTTTATTATATGGTGAGAGAGTAGTAGTACCAAAAAGTTGCAGAAAAAAGAATACTACGGGACTTTCATATGGGTCACCTGGGGGTTAATAGAACAAAAAGCTTAATGCGAAGCTTTGTATATTGGAAAGGAATTGATGTGGATATCGCAAACATGGTTCATCGATGTAAAGGGTGTGCGTTAGCAGCTAAGGCACCACATATAGTACATAAACCATGGCTCAAGACGGATCATCCGTGGACAAGATTACACATTGATTTCGCTGGTCCAGTAGAAGATTATTACTACTTAATAGTGGTAGATAGTTTTACAAAATGGCCGGAAGTACTACGCTGCAAAAAGCCTACGTCTAATACCACAACAACTTTCTTGCATGAACTATTTGCACAGTTCGGTGTGCCAGAGTGTATTGTGAGTGACAATGGTACACAATTCATTTTTGAAGAATTTAAGGAATTTTGTGACTTATATCAAATTAACCACATAACGACGCCGCCGTATCATCCGAGGTCCAATGGACTCGCAGAAAGATTTGTCGATACTTTAAAGCGCGCTCTGAAGAAATCCTCAGGTGTTCCAACGGAAAAGGCGCTTCAGCAATTCCTACAAGTATACAGAATCACGCCAAACCAGAGAACACACTCAAACATGGCACCAGCTGAACTAATGTTCGCTAGGAAAGTTAAGTCAGTGTTTGAAAAACTATTGCCAGGAAAAATAGAGTAAAGAATACTATGTATACAGCGAGAAAAAAAGATACACCTCGGAGAGGTGTTTTTCAAGTGCTACAAAAACAACGTTGAGTTCTGGGAGCGAGGCATAGTGGAAAGAATCGGTGACCTGATTTACATAATTAAAGGGCCGAAGAATACTCATAAAAGGCACCAGAATCAACTTAAAAAATGTTACGTTATAGAGCATGAAGAGAGTATACCGGATGAGGAGGAAGATCCCATTGAGGTAATGTATGATATGTTTCAAGTAGAACCTCCGCAGAATACTCCTGAACCGAGAAGATCCGGTAGGAAACGAAAGTCCACGGACCCATTGGACGTGAATCCAAAACGGAAAAAATATTAAAATTAAGCGGATGGACATATGCATATGAAGTATGCAAATAGATCTACAAAGAAATAGCCATAATCACCAACACATATAGGAAGCCAGTTTGAAATCCAAAAGGGATTCCAAGGTTTGGGAGGGGGGTGTTGTGGTAGGATCCACCTAATTTGCATAGTGGAGTACCCATCATATAAATATGGTTGGTACCGGGAAGAGGGGGGAATCAAAAGATTCAACCAGAGACTCTGCCCGACTGCGACTCAGTCAACACATTCTCCAGGAACGGTCTTACAAGGAATATACAAAAGACTATATGTAAATATTGTGTACACTTTCTTGTTTCAATACATTTTGTTCTAAGTACATTTTGTGTTGCATTATTATTCCATGCATTAGTCAAGTTTCAACACTTTCCCACCACCGTAACGTTGCTTCCCTGTACTATTTTCATAAATATTTTCATGGTAATTATTCTGATGAGCTGTCCTCTTTAGTACTTGCATATTACAAATTTAAGCGCAGTACTGAATTGGCATCTAGGTCTCATCATTTTACAGTTTAAATGGCGAGATATAACCGTAAGTTCTCTGCTAACATTTAATTTTCTCTTACTTTTCGCTTGTGGAACTCTCTTTCGTTTTCTCGCTTTTCATTCAACTCTGACCTTCAAAAATTGAAATGCAATCTCAATCGTTACCTTCTGTCTTCTTAATTCTTGTTCTTTCATTTTTCTTTCTTAGTATTTTTCCTTTTCCTCATTCTAGTTCAGACCCAGTAATCCCTTTTGTCTTAATGGACTTAATGCCTTGCTTGTGGTGAAATGATTAAAAAATCGTTAAAACGCGGTCGATGAACCTTTGTAATGTCTTTGCTTTATTCCACAGACCAAATGAAGGACGTAAAAACTCAATTAATTAGAACTAAATTAGCAGAGCTCGATGGATGCGATCAGGAACCATGTGGTGTTCTTAGCAAACTCTAACGGGGTTCAATTTTGTGAAACCCATTTTGCTTAAATCGTCGTAGAATCACGTATATATACGGTATGGGATAACGGTCCTGCTTCGTAACAGCATTTAGCGTCCTAGAATTCTCACAATAATAGAAACTTCTACTACCTTTCGGAAACACGGTGTAGTGGAGATTAAGTATATTTAATGAACGGGAAAATAGTCAGCTCTATCATCTGACTGAATTCTATTTCAGTTTCTCTGGCGCCGAGTGCCATGAACATCTATGAACCGGTGAACTCTCCTTGGTAGAAATAGGATATGTTATATTGCGTGGCAACGTTTTTGAGTTAAAAGACGGCTTAGTAATACTGGGGAAACTATAAGAGCCTGAGAAAGTCGACGCTGACTTCAAATTCGAAACGCAAAACTATCAGAGTATTATGAACAACCGAGACGAGAATGCTACTCCAAATGGCAAAGTATATAATAACTCTTGTCTTCCACAAAAGTTTCGTATCATTCATTTATAGTCAGCTTTTGTTAGTTAACTAGGATTCATCTTACTAGGAGCAGAAACGCTAATTTTAACACAGCCGCATTAATATGGATGCATATATATCGTGGCGTATTGAGAAATTTACTTTCTCAGGTTCGAAATTTACTACTGAAGTATAGCAAAAAAACTACAAAAAAGAAAACTATGATTTAATTGATGAGTTATTTTATTAAAATATTAGTGTTCAATACCTTTCTAAATTATTTAACAACAACCATTTCTTTTCATAGTTAAATCACTTGCCTTCCACTTAGCATCATACAAAGGGATATTATCTACGTACGACTTTAAATTGGCAATAACTTAAATTTTCTGAAACATTACATAAATGTGAATCTGTCAGCACGGCGGATGTTTGTTAACTGAAAACCATATCGTCTTTGTAGAACATTATCGTAAGAATCAAACGGCGAAATACGTATTAATTACAAGTATTGAAAGATTACAAACATAATAAATGAAACATCTATAGCATTGCCTAAGAAACCAGATGCAAATGAATGTGAACTCCATCGGACAATCAGCCTAATTAGACATAAGAAAACTTATCATCCGAATTCTGAAGAATAGAGCGCGTAGCAGAATTAGACCAGAAATAGGATTCGTATAGTACGGGTTCGTTAAAGATACTGAAACATGGAATGCGATATTTATACTAAGAAATATATCAGAAAAGTAATACAAATACAGAAGGATGTGTACCTGTGTTGTATAGATTATGCAAAAAGCGTTTGATAAAGTACTGTCGGAATTGCTAGGTAACCTTGACATATTCGGGAAGGATATTAGATTAACCCAGAATCTATACTGACAGCAAAACTACCTACATATAGATAGAAAATGAATTCTGTTAATATACAAAGATAGAAAGGTGTTTAAGACAAGGATACATCTCCTCACCAGACTTATTCAACCTATACAGTATGGCGATTCTGAGATAATTAAAATCCTAGTAGGATTCATTATTGACGACCACAATCTTAACAACATAAAATATGCAGATGACACAGTGTTGATAGTAGACACAGAAAGAAAACTACAACAACTCCTACAGAAGGTAGTGAAGGAAAGCGAGAAGAAGGGACTAAACACCAATTTCAAAAATACATGATGCACGATTGTTAGCAAGTGAAACAGTTCAACATGCAAATAACAAATTGGAGATAACAAAAGCAATGAAGTACAAAATTTAAATATCTGGGAAGTTTTTTAACAGAGGACGGAAAGTGCTGCAGCGAAATCCGAAGGCGCATTGGCATAGTGAAAGATGCCTTCCAAAAGCTAAGCAAAGTATTAAGAAACAGTAAAATTTCGTTAGAAACAAAGAAGAGTACTGAACTGTTATGTAATATCAGTCCGCCTATATATTAGTGAATGCTAGACAATCTACTCACAGACGAAGAAGAGATTTGAAGCAACAGAAATGTGGTTCTACAGAAGGATGCTTATATTACTATGGACTGAACATGTGAGCAACGACAAAGTTTTAGAGAAAATGGAAACAAAATGGATACTTCTACTTAAAATCAGTAAAATGAACTTTCTAGGGTACATAATGAGGAAAGAATGCCTGTAAAATGTGATACTCACAGGACAGATTGAAGGCAAAAGGGACAGAGGAAAACAATTCATAACCTATCTGGCGAGCTCGAGTGAATGAATGGTGGTACAATGTTTAAGAGAGATAACAAAATACAAGTTTTTTTTTTTAAGTGTTACATAGAACAGGTAATTGTGGAGAGCCATAATCGCCAATGTCCTGAAGGGACACGGAAGATAGAAGAAGAAGATATAGGAACTTGAATAGGGAATTTTATTTAGAGGTCATATTTATAAGGTAGAGAGAATTGAGATTCCAGTGCTTAGTCAGGGCATTACTCTAATCATTTCTCTACGACGGACGACTGCAGCGAAATTATTAGTTGCAATAAACACCTAGCATCTCTAGGACAACGCCACAGAAATTTTGTATAGCGCCAATCTTTAAAAAAACGTGCAAAGCTGTCTGCATTGAAAATCTTCATACGAAATCCCTTCTTTTTTATATTCAGGGTTGAACGCAGTGCAGTGGAAAGATGGCGGATAGTGATTTTCTAAGGCCGGCTTAGATGTGGCACAAGGCCGAAAGTATGGGGCACCCAGCGAGGATCGAACACTACTCAGTCGTAATTGATCTAGTAAGACAAGCTTTCTAACCATTACACCACGTCGAGGTGCCCAATGGAAGGACGACGGATAGGTAAATATTAAACATAAACCGAACTATGCATATATGTATCATATGTGTTTTTTGTGAATCTATCTCTATCTATCTTTTCCCACCTGTACGTATGCATGTATATATATATATATATATATCAGTCTGTTCACATCTATCTATCTATCTATCTATCTATCTATCTATCTATCTATCTATCTATCTATCTTAGTCTGTTCACATCTATCTATCTATCTATCTATCTATCTATCTATCTATCTATCTATCGTAATCTGTTCACATCTATCTATCTATCTTAATCTGTTTACATCTATTCATCTATCTATCTATCTATCTATCTATCTATCTATCTATCTTATCTTAATCTGTTCACATCTATCTATCTATTTATCTTAGTCTGTTCACATCTATCTATCTATCTATCTATCTATCTATCTATCTATCTATCTGAGTCTGCACCTATCAATGTCTATTGATCGATTTATTGGAATGATGTCATTAGCTGCTGACAGGGCCGAATCGAAATCAGATGTAATTAGCATAACGGAACTGGCCATATTTTTTGGCAATCGCTATATTCTCGTGTTGTGAATTAGCAGAGACACTGAGTCGTCTGCTGCAAGCACCAACAAACAGGAATGGTCGGGTTGAGCTTGTGAGGGTTGTTTTTGGCATCGAATATTTCTGGCTCTGATTACTGGTTACAGGTTGGTACTGGGGTGTGGTTGGAGAGTCGAGAAAGGCGTAATATTGCCAACGAAGAGCGAAAAATACCCCCCTCTGGAATGAATACAAAAAGGTGAATAACTACGAGTTTCTGGTGCCTGTCTGCTTATTCAAACGGGTGTGAAGGTGACTGGCAGTTTAAAAACGAACCAAAAAGATTAGACTTAGTACACAGGAAATGGGGGGGGGATGATGGGAAGAACAGACGGACATCGACGGACATAAATAGAGTAGCGGTTCGTGAAGCGGGGCATTTTCGAGTGGGACGTAGAAAATTTGGGAGATGTCAGAAAATTATTATGTGTTCCAAGAAACCTATTTTTTTTCTCTCAACTGTTATCTCACATTTCGAAATTATTTCTAGCTTTGGCTTTAAAGGGGTTAAAGAATATCTGTTTTGTTAAAATATTTCATGTAATGAAATTATAATACATGTTGACTTCGATGGTAGGATATTTAACATACGACATGTAATGTAGCCTCCCTGTGCCTTTGCTAGAAATCCTTTTATGGTAATTGTTCAGATAAAATTTCTCCTGTGGTACCTTAGGCTTTATAAATCTAAACGCAGTACTAGGTTGGCGGCAAGATCTCATTATTTTACTGCTGAAATGACTAGATCTAACCGTAAGTTCTATGCTAACAGCTTCTTCTATCGCATTTCTCGCTTGTGGAATTTTCTTCTGACTTCAATTTTCTTCTTGCTTCAAAAATTTAAATGCAATGCCAATCGTTATTTCTGTCTTCTTAATTCTTGTTTTTTTCTTGTTCTCTCTCCTAAATAGTGTTTTTTTTTCCTCATATTCTCTCACAATAAGTAACCCCTTTGCGTCTTAGTGGCTTTATTGTCTTGCTTGGGGTGAAATGATTATCCAAATTGCTAGTCAAGTTAGTTTTTTTTTTATTGTGCAACATTTTCATGGACACTTTCAGCAAAATTTATTTAAGTCAAAAAGTTAGAGTGTGAAGTTAAAACAAAAAGATAAAAAGTAGAAAATTCAAATTATTCGAGATTAATTTATTTTTGATGGTTTGTGCCATTTGGTCCAACTGAAGTCAAAGATAAATAACGTGTACTTAGAGATGTCTGTTGCTTTGAACCAAACACACTAGGCAGAATTTTTTTAAAATAATCATTTCACCACAAGCAAGGTGGGAATGCCAGGGGGTTACAAAGAGTGAAAGTAAGAGAAATGATTGAGTCTAGGGAGGAGTGAGGAAAGGACAAAAGATGAACGGGATTCAAGAAGATAGAAGATGGCGATTGAGGATGCATTTACATTTTGTTAATCATTTCATCCCAAGCAAGGTGGGAATGCCACTAGTACGCAGGGGTTTACAGGGAGTGAAAGTAAGAGAAATGATTGAGTCTAGGGAGGATTGAGGAAAGGACAAAAGATGAACGGGATTCAAGAAGATAGAAGATGGCGATTGAGGATGCATTTAAATTTTTGAAGATTGTAGTTATCAGGGAAGCAAGTAAACGGAAGGGAGTTCCACAGGTGGGAAGTGTGAGAAAAGAAACTAGTGAAGTAGAAGTGGCGGCTGCATTACTCAGGTTGAAACTGAATATCCAGATGCCTGTAGCTGTCGCTTACACACACACACACACACACACACACACACACACACACACACACACACACACACACACACACACATATATATATATATATATATATATATATATATATGTATGTACGTAAATTACTATCGGATAGAGTGTATCTGTAAAAGAGCAAAAATGAATAATAGGACAAGAGGAAAAAACTGTTCTTAGCCAACGCGTTTCGTCTTTTGAAGGACATTACCAAGGCAAATGTAGTATTTATTTTGTTGCACGTGTTTATATACAAAAGTGAGGGTGTCATTGGTTCATCAAGGATTTTAAATTTGAGAACGTTCATGAATGTTCATCAAGTGGTTACAATATATATATATATATATATATATATATATATATATTGTAACCACTTGATGAACATATATATATATATATATATATATATATATATATATTTAACCACTTGATGAACATTCATGAACGTTCTCAAATTTAAAAGCCTTGATGAACCAATGACACCCTTACTTTTATATATAAATATATATATATATATATATATATATATATATATATATATATATATTGTTTCTAAGTTAATGGATTTAATATTTATAATTCAACATTATTAATGTCGGATTATAAGTAAAATCCATTAACTCTTGAGAAATTACTTTGTTTACGTTTCGGATCCGAAAATACGATTAACAGATATAGGTTTCGAGGGAACCAAAAGACAGCTGTGTATTCCTTAAGAGACTAATTGATCTTTGTTGGGATGTGAAAGCTTTTTCGTGAGAAATCGTCTTAAAACATGCCAGGCCACGTGGTGGGTTCCCCTATAAGGAGGATGCAACTTTAAACCTAACCGGAAGGCACATTTTCTTTATTAAAACTCTCGAATCCCAGGCCGGTAGACGTAAATTTATATTAAAAAAAAGACGGGTAAATTTGTAATGGTAATTTGTATGTTCTGGATTTGCGCGTTTTGTGTGGTTGGGGAAACAATACATAAACATCCCAAACGAAGATCTAAACATTATCAAATACTGCAGAAAGTCAATACTATAAAACAAAATTCGGAAAAAAACGCAAAAAGAAATCCCATAAAAAAAACAACCACACTAAAATTTTACACTAAAAAAACGCAAAAAGAAATACAACACAAAATGCAATCCCATAAAAAAATCCATTGCTAACCTCTAAATCCATATCAATTCCAAACACAACCAATATAGTAAAATCACAATATCAGAAAAATAATAACTAACCACACAAAACACAAACAAATTACCACAACTAAAAAAAAAAACCAGTAAGAAAGATTATCAGTAAATCAGAGATCAACGGAGAAGGCGAGGAAAGAATAAAAGATAAAAGAAATGGAAGGAGATGAAAAGAAATCAACAACCAAGTAACATGACATCCATCAAGCGAAAAGGAAAAATAACACATTCATACCAGAATATATAAATACAAAAAATTCGAGAAATATCAGTAGAATAGTCCAACTCCGCTCTGATGAGTAGTGACATTTCTAGGTGACCACGAAACATCGAATTAAGCATGACGGAAATACCGCCCAGTTAAATGAAAAAAAAAACTATTCATATTAATTCTGTTAACGCACTATCTCTATCTCCGATATTGAGCACTCTACTAAAAAGCCTGCTTGTCTTACTTTGAATCAAACACAATAGGCAGCTTCTTTTTAAAATAATCATTTCACCCTAAGCAAGGTGGGAATGTCAGGTGGGGTTACAAAGAGTGAAAGTGAGAGAAAAGACTGAGTATAAGGAGGTTTGAGGAGAGGACAAAAGATGATATTATTGTTACTCTATTCTGTATGGGTTCTGTTTGGAATGCCTTTCTATCAGCAAACCGCTGAAAAACCAGCAACTTTGGCTTCAAAATCAGTCTCTCAAATTAACACTATATTTAAAGACTATTACTTCATTAATTAGTCGTCAATAAAGATTTAAAAAAAAATTATGGTAACTTTTTGTTTACGTACGACACAAGTCAGAATCGAATTAATGTAAATGTGTTCCAAATAGTTGAGCACTTGCGCTGTCGACCTATTTTATCAAAATAAAGAAAAAAAATCAAGGTGTCAGTCGTTTTGAAATTTTGAAGTGCCTTAAGATTTTATAGCGTTTATGAGTTATAATGACGTCACACACAATGCGATATTCAAGCGAAATTCTACACGGGTACGAATTATTTACCAGTTCTTAAAACATTTGAAACTAAAACAATTCCAAAACTGAAAATTTAGACAAATAGTTGGATAGAGTGGTAGTTGCATGTCCAATATTTGAATTTAACTTTTGTGCATCAGAGGATAATCAATTTCAAAGATACCATTACTCTTTTTGAACGGAGCTATATTTGAAGGCAAGCATTATTTGTAATAAGATTGAATGTTTTTAGATCTAACTTTTTAAATAGTATACTAATCTTATATATTCATCACGTTGAACTAGAGATGTCTACAGAGATTTTATACACTTGATACTTGTTTCATTTTATTTACAATTTTTTTTCAATAAAATAATATTACTTTCATTTTTGTTATTTTTGTTCATTGCAATTTATATTATTATTATTATTATTATTATTATAATAATAATAATTATTATTATTATTATTATTAGTAGTAGTAGTAGTAGTAGTAGTATATTTAGATTTCTGCTATGGTCACACTACTTATCAAGTCTGCGAGGAGACCTAAGCCAAGTAGTGGTGTATTGTTATGGCTACATTTCACGATTTCTTTTTCTAATTCCCATAACATCATTCACGTTACATGAACAAAGTTCTATGTGTGTAGGCTGTACTTATCAAGACAATTTTTTGTATTTCTCTTAAGCTTGGATGTCCAGGTATTTTTTTCAATGTGTTGTGTTACTTTTTTATCATTCCAAGCGCAACCACTGTGACTGGTACTTTTCTTGTTTTTAATTTCCACATTTTTTTCTATTTCGATTTCCATGTCTTTATACTTCGATAGTTTTTTCAAATTCCTTGGTTGCTATGTTACAGTCCGCTGGGCAAGCCATATCAATTAGTAGGCAAGTTTTTTCTTTTCGGTTTTTGTCAAATATG